CAAGCGAGGTGAAGCTCCCTTTTGATGATTGGTTGGAAGTCATTTGGCACCATGAATCTCAAATGCACCAAGAACACCAAATTGAAGGTCGAGCGATGTAGTAGAGAGAGGTAGAGGTAGAATGTATTCAATGTTGCCGACTCAATCCAATTCAATTTGGTGATGTCAAACGGAAGAGGATGTGATAGGATAGGATAGGTACCTAGCGAGAAGGCAAAGTGGTTTGTTTGGTTTTGGATGGGAAAAGTATTTGGGTGTGAGATGAATAAACCTTGTTGACGAAAGGGAATGAGTTACACGAGAGGGTGAAGAGTTGTACTGCCGCACATAAAGAAAGTGAAATGTCTAATAAATTACTTGATTTCCTTTTTGGGGAAGTTATTTGCTCACGGAAAAGTTGAATTGAGTCCCTTCAACATGCATGTAATCAAACGACCGCAAACAGAGGCAGAATGCGTTGTCACGTGATCACTCGCATCTTGATTACCAAGTACTGCACTGCATTATCTCAATATTCAGACCCTCTTCGTCGATAGAACGTATTTCATTGAATTCTGAATAATATCTTGATCTTTTTTATAGTGGTGGTATTGTGGCTTACTAATGATCGAATTTTTTTTTTCGGCCAATCAGGGATCGGGGGGAATATTTATCTCCTCGAGAGTCTGAGAGTATTTGGTCGTGTTTTTGATATATAACTCAATTCGTTTAATAAAAGTACTTTAACGATATATATCACCCTTTCAACCATCATTTATTGAAAAACTAATTAATACATTCGAAAGAGCTCAATTGATATTATTATATAAATTAGCTTTAGATTAATTGGAGTTGTAATAGTGGTGTAATTCAATTGAAAAGATTTTTTTTGAAACCAGATAAGTTATTTTTAATAACTTTATTCTATCAATACTAATAATAAGAATAATATCATTCGAATCACCTTATTAAACTGAGTATACTACTAGCTCTCTCAATAGCTCTAATAGTATTGAAACTATATCGTTAATAAAGATTTAATTACTCTTTAAATTTTGAAGCTATATATCTTAAGTTTAAGACATATAGCTTTAGATTTTTAGAATTAAGAGTACTCAATCTCTTTAAATTTAATAACCCTAACCCTTTAAAAGGGATTGAGATATATAATAAAAATCAGATTGATTAGAAGATCTTTAGAATATATATATTATTATTAGGAATGGTTGTAGTAGTAGATTTCGAAGAGGGTGGGTACTTAATTTAATGAAAATGTTAGAATTCAAAAACATTATTTTTAAATTTCAACACTGTACTTGTATATGATAGAATAAAACTATAATAGTAATAAATATATCAAAATAATGAGAAAATTCATCTCTATCAATTGAATCTGTACTGAAGTGATATAATGGTTGAATAATTTATAATATTTAATGGAAAAATGGAAAAATACTGAATTGTTGGGATTTATACTAAGGCCGGAACCAAATAGTTTCAGACCCTACGGTGATAAAGCTTCGAAAGGCCCTGCCTCGAAATCAAGGCCAAAAAGCCTATTTAATTATGTAATCACCGTGTGGTCTGAGGATGAGATAAGCACTGCAAGAGACGAGAATGAGGTGAGGAACAGGGACAAGAGAATGGGAGAGGTGTGAGAGAGGTGTGAGAGAGGTGAGAGAAGAGGCAAAATTGATTAGTGAGCCTGGTATGTAGTGACCTCGGAATCTGAAGTGGGAGGAGGGGAAGTCAAGTGAAGTGAAAAATAGTAATAAAGCTTTCTCCAAGAGCAGAGGAATGAATGTCTGTCTACCTGACACCTAAATTGAGTGAAGCTTCCAAAAGTGTCATCTCACGTGCAGGCAACCGCTCTGACATTGAATTTCGAAACCACCTGTCGGAATTCTCAAACAAGCAAATAGGAACGAGAACAAAGGATTATTAGTTATATTGAATATCCATACAGTATTCATCGAGTCTTGCATCTCCGGAGTTGTATATTTGTAGACTTTCTTTGAATCACTTTGTAATTATCAGGGAATTACTCAGGAGTCAATTCATACAAAGCCAGGTAGTGTAGGACGGAGTGTAGGACGGAGTATACGTATCACGAGAGAACGAGAGACGCATTCTCAAGATTCGACTCCTTTACAATCTTTCGTCAAGTAATACGTACGGACTTGGGTACCTGGTAAGTAATACCCAGCCAGTACCATAGAAAAGGAGAGATAAGACAAGGCAAAACCAGCTTCACTTCAACAAGCCGTCACCATTCCACCAGGGGACCAGAAGTGTGAATACTAGAGATTCATCCAGTTAGATATCTCACACCTAGTACCTCCTACTCCTAGCATACCGTACTCATTGAGGTCAGTCCAGCCTTTCGAGTATTAATCATACTCATGAATCAATTGATTTCGCTCAGAGTCAGTCACTTCATTGAATTTTGACTTCCATGGTCTAATAGCATCCAAATAAAAGTTTCAGGACTGGTGAACCATACCTAGGTATGAGTAGAAATATAATCGAAAGATAATCAAACTTCCATACAACATTGGAATACAAAGTCGGAATACAAAGTTGGAGCCACCCAACTTGTAAAATCATCAAAGTTCAAATCATCAAAGTTCAAAGTTCAAAGTTCAAAGTCCCCCCCCCCCAACTCACCCAAAAAAAACCCAAAACATCTTTACGACCCCCCCGACCCCGGTTTCTCGCATATCCACACCCATCATCCATCTATCCATCGCAACAACGAAATCCGTTAACCTTTCCCCCCTTCAATAATAAATCCTATTCTACTTCAACATCAATCATGGCGAATGACGAATACGACGTAAGTACTTCTCTCCATCACTTTCTATTCATATCACCAACTCTACAGAATATGCTAACATCTCTTGTGATAGTTCCTGTTCAAGGGTAAATAAATACCACATCCCTCTCCCCTCAACCTTCTCCGTTGCCTTGTGATTGTTCTTCCCCGTCGTCGCTCTCTCTAATCTCTTCTCTCATAGTTGTCCTTATCGGAGACTCTGGTGTCGGTAAATCCAATCTTTTGAGTCGATTTACTCGAAATGAATTCAACCTAGACTCAAAATCAACCATCGGTGTAGAGTTCGCAACTCGATCAATTCAAGTGGATGCAAAGACAATCAAGGCGCAGATCTGGGATACCGCTGGTCAGGAAAGATATCGCGCCATCACATCCGCCTATTATAGAGGTGCCGTTGGTGCTCTTCTGGTTTACGACATTAGCAAACACCAAACCTACGAAAATGTTACAAGATGGTTAAAGGAGTTGAGGGATCATGCTGACTCCAACATTGTCATCATGTTGGTCGGAAACAAGAGCGATTTAAGGCATCTGAGAGCTGTGCCTACGGAGGAGGCCAAACAGTTTGCCAGTAGGGAATTCCTCATTTCCACGACCAAGACGTGATGCTGATCTTTGTCATTGCAGGCGAAAACAACCTTTCCTTTATTGAGACCTCAGCTCTCGATGCTAGCAACGTTGAGCTTGCCTTCCAAAACATTCTTACTGGTATGACTCCTCTCTACATATCTATGTGTTCGCACATCCTAACAATGTCTGCCTACTCTAGAAATTTATCGAATTGTATCCCAGAAAGCCCTCGATAACGGTGATTCTGCACAGGCCACTATTGCAAGTGGTACAAATATTACACTTACGCCTCCTCCTTCAGACGAGGCAGCAAAGGGAGGCGGAAAATGTTGTTAAATAGTCAGGCGTTCTTACTCTGCGCAACTACACGGACATATTGGTTGATGGTTGATACAAAGGTGTGGCGTCTTTAAGTGTCATTGCGGGAGCATGGGGGGTTACGAAGTCAGGGCTAAGCAAAACGCTCAGCACTCGATGAGCGCGGGCTCAAGGATATCTTCCCTTTTTTTTCCAATTATGTTGTCCGGTGGTTCTTCCTCTCTGGGATTTCACGTCTGCAACGATCGCTATGCTTGTCTAATGCAATGGTTTTTGTCTTAATATCTCTGTTCTAAAGACTCTTTCCTCAAAACTTTCTTCTTCCACTGTCTCCGCTGACTTGATCTTCGCCCATTTCCCTGATCTCATCACTAGGTTTGACCCAAGCGGAACTAGTATCAATCATCTTGCATGTGCCGAACTTATTCACACACCATTCGATGACACCGTCTAGTTCCTCCTTACTTTGTTTCTCGAGAGATGCCTTCTCCTTCTCGCTTCCCTTTCCATTCGTCTCCTTGAACTTTTGGACAGCATCCAGAAACTTCTGGCCGTTATCTAAGGACTCCCTGTTGCCATCATTGCCATGCTCCTCCTTCCACGCTTTCCAAGTCTGACCACCCTTTCCCCAAAGCTTTGAATATATTTCTGACTCCTTGACATCACTGTACCATGCTCTTGAATTGTCATAGTCGCCTTCGATTCGATGCAGGATTCCATGTAGATACATGCCCTCGTAGGCTGGCGCCGACTGCATATGGCGAGCTAAGAAGTGCGCTGATGGCAAGTCAAGGTTTAAAAGGTGAAGAGCAGTCTCTAGAGTTGGATGAAGCTGAAGAGAGGCGATTTCTGAGGTAAGCATTGGATCGTGGGGTGAGGCAGGTGGAAGTAGTGGGGCTGGAATCTTGAGAAGGCGATTGTGGATGGATTTGAAAGTCGCCATGATGTTGTGGTATTGTGAAAGTATTGTGTAGTTGATTTGGATGAAGAATAGAGGGTAAAATGAAGCAAATACTTGGCAAGTACTGTGTAGTTAGAGTGGAGATATGGTCAATACCTTATAAGTTATACTACCAAACAAGTATGAAAATTGGCAAGTTAGATTCACGATTTACCACTTGCTAATTGAGAGCGTAATGGAAGACGTCATTACTTGGGGGAAGGGCGTTCAAAGGAAGCTTGAAAGACACAAATTGACTTGATCATGTAAGATCTTACATCTATCCAGTTCACCGTGGACGATATACAGTATGCATCGAGAATCATGAATTCCGTAGGTAGAATTAGAATCTCAACTGATCATGAGAGTTGCTGGTATTTTCAAGACCCCAACCCCAGTTGGAAGTTCCAGATCTTGTGTTCTTAATAAAGATTCACGTTACATGCAGGAACATGATGCCATGAGGAAGATCTTAATCTATCCCACACCTATCGTAGTGAACCAAACACTCCGATACGATACCAAACAAAGTTCCTCGGTACCGGATCTCCACGTCTCCATATCTCTCTCCATGTTATTACAGCTAGCCACGACTCACGAGACTGAGGATTGATCAATTGATAATTCATACCTGCTGGGTCGATGGGACCAATGATCGATGGCATCTTATCCGAATCGCCGAGATATACTAGCAAGGATGTACGCTGAGTATCGCGCTAAGATTAAAGGTCGCGCTTACGCTATCAAGAAATTCTTATGAAAGTTTGGAGATCTCAAGAACTTTTTTGCGCCCGATAGCATTAAACATATATTTTTAATATACACAACACAATACAACATTTACAATGGCTTCCGTTTACAAGTCATTATCCAAGACCACTGGTCACAAAGAAGATGGTCCTGCAAATGGGGTTAAGAAAAATAAGCAAAGAGTTTTAATCTTGTCTTCAAGAGGAATTACTTACAGGTAAATAATTTTATACCATTGCAGAGAATCTCGAAGACAATGCTAATTTTTCACATGTAGACATCGACATCTCCTCAATGACCTTGCGTCCCTTCTTCCTCACGGCAAAAAAGATGCGAAACTCGATACCAAGTCGAAGCTTTATCAATTGAACGAGTTGGCCGAATTATATAATTGTAATAATGTATTTTTCTTCGAGGCAAGGAAAGGAAAGGATCTTTACCTGTGGATGAGCAAGGCACCCAACGGACCTACTGTGAAAATGCATATGCAGAATTGTATGTTCATTTTGATATCCTCCTCTTCTGGAAAAGTCTACCTTTCTAACACTTCTTAGTACACACCATGGAAGAACTTCATTTCACCGGAAACTGCCTCAAAGGCTCCCGACCCATCCTTTCTTTCGATGCCTCTTTTGATAAGGAACCTCATCTCCGCGTTCTGAAAGAACTATTCCTCCATATCTTCGGTGTACCAAAGGGTGCAAGAAAATCGAAACCTTTCATTGATCATGTTATGGGATTCACATTGGCAGATGGCAAAATCTGGATTCGAAACTATCAAATCAGCGAGACGGAACCATCGAAAGTGAAGGGCGCTGAAGAAGAAACTTCCACGAAATCTAAATCGAAGAGCTCGGGAGCCAGCGAGACGGAATGCAACTTGGTGGAGATTGGACCAAGATTCGTGTTGACACCTATTGTCATTCAAGAGGGAAGTTTTGGTGGACCAATCATCTACGAAAACAAGGAGTTCGTGTCGCCCAACCAAGTCAGAAGCGAGATCAGAAAGAAGAAGGCAGGAAGATATAATGCAAGGGCTGAACAGGGTATTGAGAGACTGGCAAAGAAGGGAGAATTGGGACTCAGAACGAGTGGAGGAAGACAGGCGCCAAAGGATGCCCTGGATAATGCCGAGTTGTTTGCTTAGACTGAGAAGATTCCCTAATGGCGTTTGGTGCATGGAAAATATGTATAAGGGAGAAATTAAGAGAAAAGTCTACTTCTTGCGAAACTTGGAACGGCTAACTGCTCATTTGCGGTGTGTGTAAAGAACCAATACTAAATCCTCATAGTGTGACACAAACTATACACGCATGTACTAACCCTTCAAATTCTGTCAAGAAAACATTCAGTGAAAGAAATGTCGTATGCATGGTTGCGCCCTTGTATTACCACCAATACTTATTGTACCCAATCATTACATTCCATTCGCGCCATTACTAGCATAAGTTAATACGAACTCTGTTATTCTTTATCGTGTGACTATCAAATGTTTACTCTATCTATCAAAGCGGGGACATCTTCGGTCGCCACTCGGCTGAGATGTGAGACATCTCAGCCAATGAAACTGTGTGACTCTTCGATTAGTAATTAATTACTAATGTTTCCACTAAATCTAATAACTAAGAGCTAAAAAGCTACTTAATAAGATAATTATATAACTATATATTAGTTTTTAAACTATCTAGTATACTATAATAAGAGTTTAATTATTAATTTAAGAAGCTTATCTTATAATAATTTTATAACTCTAATACTAGATCTTCTAAGTAAGTTTATTTACTTATATATTAAAGTAAAGTAATACTATATAAATAAAGCAAGTAAGAATTAAAACTATATAAGATAAATAATATATATATATATATATTTAATATATTATTAATAGAAACTAACTTTATCTCTTAAATCTAATTTACTTTTTAAATATAAGTTATTTATAATAAACTCTAAATAAAGTCTACTATTAATCTCTAGTTTCGCTTTTAATTATATATTAATTAATCATTTCGGAGTTAAAGATTACTTTAAAATAGAGAATGAAAATTAAATCTAGTTCTAGAATAAAACGTATTATAATCATATACGTATTTATATAGTGAAAAAATTCTAAGCGCGTTGATTTCTATATTATTAAAAACCCTCGTACGCTTAGAAGACTAACTTATATTGTTTGTAAAGTAGTAATACTACATTTCATTTTGTATTAAGTCTCTGATTCATTTGCTCAAGATCCTCACCATCCTCGGCTCTCTTAGCTTTCTTTCTCAAAGGGCTCCGTGTGTGACCATTAGTCAAACTCTCGAGTTTTGAGGGCTCTACACCTGTTACATCTTTCCTTTTCTTACCATTTATCACCGCTTCCTGGGCTGAAGATTGTTGAGCTCGGTGCAGAGTAGACTGAGCAGGCGCAGGAGTATCACCTGCGGGCTCCGTGGTATCATTGCTGGAACTCTTTTGCAAATATTCTAGGCCAGCTTGCAGGTCTCCGACTGCTTCAATGAGATCCGCACTCATCTCGGTTAAACTCTTCTGCTGAGTCTCGATCTTTCCGTTGAGATCTTGAATCTTAAGATCCAGGGTTGTGTAAGACTGTTTGAGTGTAGTCAACCCAGCTTGAGTGCTTGTGGTAGCTTCATCAAGCTTCTTGGCAGTTGTTCCGAGCTTAATTTGACCTTTAGTCAACAAGTCTACTTCTTGGCGTAAAGACTCGGTAGCTCCATTGCCTGCATTTGTTGGGCTTTGCTTGCGAACAGATTGGCCTTGGAGGGCCACTACTTGACTCTTCAACTTCTCCAGTTGGGTGGTATGACTGGAATGTTGCTTCCTCAACTCTAAGAAATTTCGTTCGGCATTTCCAACATCGGGATAGATTACTTCCAACTGGTGCAACATATTCTTCGCTAGATCATCTGTTGATATATTGTTGAATCGACTGTTTAGGTGCCTTAATGCTATAGTATTCGCGTTTTGGTCGTTGTTCGTTTCGGTGACTCGATGAGCAAAGCGATTTAGGTCTTGCACGAATACATCCATACGAATCTGAATATTGGCGATCTTTTCATTGATGGTTATATCACTGCGTTGAATAGAGTTTACTTGGTTATCGAGCTCCTCAACACGTTTAAATAGAACTTGGTCCATTTGTTCCCGCTGCTCTTTATAAAGTTCAAAAGCTTTCTTGACATCCGTGATATCTTGCGCTGCTGTGGAAAATGGCGAGATTCTCGTGACTGGCTTATTCATACTGAGAGGATCTATCTTTTTGAGAGAGTCCTCCAATTCATTCAGCCTAGATTCATAATTTTCCATCGTGCTTTTCAATTGCTCATGAACTTTAGCATCTTCCTGGGGCATAGTGCGGCTAGGAGATCCAAGAGAGCTTTCGATCTTGTCGATTCTTTCCTCCAGAACCCTAATGTCTTCTAGAGCATTACGAATTCTAGTCTGCATCACCCCGATCATCGTTGCGCTTGATCCGCTTGCTATTTTGGAGGGAGCCTGGGATATGGCAATGGACGGAGGTTGAGGAATCTGCTCCAGTCGACCAATCTTATCCTTTAGGGAGTTCAATTCCTCTACAGTAGTTCCAAGACTTTGAAGGATGACTTTATGAGTATTCTTCATGGCGTTTAGCTCTTGTTCGTGAGTTCCAAGTTTTACGGCGACGTCCCTTTGAGCAGTCTGGAGTTCAATAAACTTTGTCATGTCGTTCTTTAGCTCACTAATTTTTTCCAGGCTCGACGACTTAAAATCATTTAAGGAAACCCTGTGATTTTCTGACGACTTTTCGAGGGATGTGACTTTACTTGTAAGAAGTTCAATATCATCACTTTTCGCTTTCAAGATGGTGGATTGTTTGCCGGTCTCCTGCTGGAGCGTTGTCATCTTTTCCTCTGAGTTGTTGATCGACGCATCATGTTTCTTCAGGGAATTTTCATGGCTATCTAGGCGGCTATCTATGCGGGGACCGAGTGAAGCAAGTTCGCTACGAGTAGCTTGATGCCGCTGATCAAGCTTTGTAAATTGATCAGACAGATTTTGGTGTTCGCGTTTTGTCTTGGCTTCGCTGGTTTCTATCATCTCTGCAAATTGTGCCTCACTTCTTTTGATCTCGGCAACAACCTTGCGATTTTCGACTTGACTTTCTTGAAAGCGAACATTGATATCGGAAATTTTATCTTTCTGATCCATGGCAGTCATTGTTTTCTCAAGGTCCTTCACTTTCTCTTCCAACTTCCGACAACGTTCCTGGAGGTACCTCGAGTCATCTGCGATAGGAGGCGAGGCTTTGATAACCAGGCAAGAGGCAATATTTTTAGCTGCCTCTTTCTGCAATCTCTTGGCCTTCTCAAGCTCTTCGTTAGTTTTCGTGAGGACATCTTCTGCCTCAGCTTTGCGTTTATTTTGTACATCCATGTGCGTAGGGAAGCTTTGCATGATGGGACTCATCCTCTGTATTTCCTCAACTTGCTGTTTCAGACTCTCTTCGGCCGAGTTTCGTACTTGATTTAGCATACTCCTAGAATCCCCTTGGTTGGCAAATTGCATCAACGCATCAATAAGAGATTCTAACTGAGATGATTCTGTAACAGGAACTTGTTTAGAAGCATTGATGAGGGGGTTGACAGATTTTTCCATAATATTACTCGGTCTTGATGGCATGGAATTTGCAGTGAGATTCGAATATCCTTCTCCACGATGATTGGTCCCTAGGGTTTGTTAGTTTAGGTTGCATAATTTGATTCTGACGAACATAATAAAGACTCGAGTTCGAAAATCATAACGTTGTCAATGACCTGTCCTACCACGTCCGCTTAAATAAGACAAACTATTGCTACTTTCACAAGAAAATCAAGGAACATTATTCAACAGAGCAGCAGTGTCCTCCTCACAGGGTTTGTCACTATTTGAGCTAGTGCGAAAGATTGAGCTTTCCGTGGCTTTCGAATCAAACTAATTTGAAATTGTTTCGGAAGATAATGATAAACTGTACTTGCCTTTTGATGCTGGTTCAATATCAGTCGTTGCTGTTGTTGGTCTTGTTGTTGTTGGAGAGCGATTATCAGACTTAGGGAGTTGAGTATTCATCGAGCTGTTCTCCTCAGAAGAGCGACTCCCTCGATCTGCCCTCTCCCCATTTCTCTTGGTGCCACTGTCTTTGTTCTCGCGACCTCCATCCAATCTACGATTCTCATGTCCTTCTTCATTGACTTGCCCGTCTCTGGAACCATAATTTTTAGCCGGCCTATGCCTATCATCACGATGGGAACCTGTTGGTCCTCGTAGAGGAGGTCTATCCTCTGAGTGTTTGCGGCTTGACATAGTTGGCGACGACAGGAAAGTACTTCTTTGCCTTGCTTGTCGACGATCGAATCTTGAAGCCCCAATACTAATTTTCAATCAAAGAGGTTGAAAAGCGAGACTGACTTTCCATGGAATGAATAGAAAGAAGAAAGCGAGTTCCCTAAGCAGAATACCAACATTAATAAATCCTCCGAGATGACTTGGTAAGAAAGTTTGCCCTGTAGAGTTGAGACTAGTAAGATGAAGTTAAAAATTACCCTCGTCGGCGTGGACTTTGAGAAGATGGTGAAAGGTTGAGAGGTTGTAGGTTGTGAAGTGTAAGTAAGTTAGTTGTGGGTTGTGGTTAGAGATTACTCTCACTTCGAGTGAGGTTGAAAGAGTGTGTTTGATATCAGTATGGAAAAAAAGTCTCTTCGTATTTCAGACCTCTTCGAAAAAAGGTGTGGGCAATACTAGGTATGAATGTATGAATGAACAAACAGCCAGGCGACTTGAATCAAAGGTTTGAGAGAAGGTGAGGAAAGAAAGTGAAGATAGGTAAATGCTAGATAGCGAGAGGGAGGTAGGTAGAGATTAAACATGAGAGCTTTCTTAAATTCAAGTAAAGTAAATACGCTTTTAGATAAATTAAAAATTTAATAGGGAATTTATTCCTACGCTAGCAGGGATAGTACATATCTCAAAGTCACGCTAAGAGCTGAAACGGCTTAGTGCTACCCACCTACTCAGGATGCTAGGTAATCAAGGTGGTCTCTTTATTACTAGAATTCCACATCGGTTGGATATATTCACCCTTTGTATTCTCATTCTCATTGAATAAGCGTAAAGGCTGATCTACCTCGCGACCGACAGAAAAAACCGAACACCAACCCCGCAAAATAAACGAAAATTTGAAAATGATTCTTTTTCAAAACTTAGTATTAATTTGATTTAATATTTTAAATCTTTTTGAATTAATCTATAGAGATTACAAGCTAATAAATAAGTATTATTAAAGATTTGAAAA